CTTGTTATATTTTTAGATGATTCAATATATACAAAATCAAGCTTCAATTATAGAGCTGGCAGATAAATATGAGGTGAAGACTGATTATTAATCGTTTTACACATCATACTATACATGAAGTTAATGGTTGAAATTATGTCATATCACATGAGAACCAGTGATCCAACTTTAATGAACACGGCTTATTAGAATAGTATCATAAAGGTGATAAATTTTTCTAAAGAATTATTAGTTTGCATGTATTGTATCCACTGTGGAATCCTAAAATAAAGAAATAAAAATATTAATAAAATATTATATATTTATTTGCTTATTATTATTATTATATTAAAAAAGATTTTTTTCTCTTATCACAAAAATATTTAGATTAAATGTCAAATTTAATTGAGGCTTGACAATTTGATTGCCATGATGTATTTTAATTAAGACAACATCTAAAAAAAATCACCTAACTTGCTTAATAGCCCTTATTATTACTTAAAGATTTGAGCGTTGTTGTGGCGCAGTTTCCAAAAAAAATTTTTGCGTAGGTTTCCCCTCTTTTAATAATTATATATTCCTCCAGAAAATAACAAAAAATAAAAGTGTATATGAATAAATTTAAAATAAATTATTATCTATTCTATGAATATAAATAAAAAATATTTAAAAGAAAATCCCTTTATACCAAGCATCCTTAATGAGAAACGAAATAGTTGATCTCATGTCAAGAGTTGGATATAAGTTGGCGAAAGTTGTAGCGTTGTGATTACCTTGAATCAGTCAGCATCTTTCGTGAAAAAGAATAAACAATTTCTTCTATATTTAATATGGGTATAAATGATTATGATTATTAAGTTAAAAGGATTTTAAAATGTTAATATTAATATTGTAAGGTTGGAGAAGTTGTATAATGTGTTTGCTAATATTAATATACTTGTCTAATATATTTATTTCATCTATTTTATTTATAATATTTAAAATATATATTCAAATTTAATTTAAATGGTCGTGTGACAGACGCAGAATTTTGAGTTTTCATATTCGTTATGTAACAAACATGATTAGTATTTTTTTTTTGGGAAGGTAACTCATTATCCCCATTGCCAACCAAAAAAATGTACATTGATTTCACTTTCATGTCAAGAATTTCATGTAGATTGGATTCAAGCAAAAACTAAAAGATATTTTATATTGATTAAAATTTTATTAATGATTATTAATTATTGTTTTATTTACATTGCTTTGATCATGCCTATACAAACCATTGAGTAATCAATAAAATGTTCATTAAATATATTTTAGAAACAGCTTCATAGATCTTTAACACTTCAAACCTGCCTATATTATTTGAATAATTGATAAACATTCAAACTATTGAATAATTAATAAAATGTTTGTAGAATATTTTGTTTATAGATCTTGTCCTTCCTTAACGTTTACTTCAATTACTCCTACATAATCTATTGAATAATTAATAAAACATTCGTTAGAATATTTTGTTAGAGATCTTGTCCTTCCTTAATGTTTACTTCAATTACTCCTACATAAACTATTGAATAATTAATAAAATGTTCGTTAGTAAGGTAAATGGATCTAATGGTTATGGCTATATTGACTATAAATCAAGACGATTATTTTGGCATTACAATTCTCCTAAACTTTGGGCAGAATCCAAAAAACACCTATTAAATTATAGATTAGGAGATCATGTCGAACAGTTATTAATAGAATGAGGTTACAAAATAGTTCAAGGAAAATCTTGGTATATTATGGTAAAATTGATTGAGAATCCAGATTATTATGCAAATCTCACATATCCAGATATCGTTAGAATATAATATGTTACTACAATTTTATTTATCACCATTTCTGAGATAATTTGTTAAATACCCCAGTTTATGAGTTTTGATGGTATATTTTTTCATACAAACTCAATTCATACAACACAAAAATTGATATCAGATATTGATTCGGATTCTGTATCCACTTTGACATGAGGCAAAGCCTCGAATCTCTGATTCATCATATACCATTGCTTACTATTAATTACTCTGTATCCTTGTTGCCTTAATAAATTTAAAACGTGGTTATATAATCTATTTTGTAATTGATATTTCTTAGCATGAATTTTTCAAATGTCTCCCGATTATATTTGAGCAATTGCTGAGATAAAATATTGAGCCCTTTCTTAACCTGATGATTGATTCCAAAAGTGTACCCCAAAGTCAATCGTCAACACTTGTGGACGATGATCATGGTTGTTACATTTTGGAAGGAAGTCAAATCATTGGTGATGATCACGATTACTACGTGTCGGAGTCTGAATACACACGCCTGAAAATCTGACTTTTGTGATTCTATGAAGTACAATAGCGGAGCTAGCATAAATTTCATGATTAATTTGCTCATATATCTTTCATTTTGTGATAAATTCCACAGTCAATTAATTGACAAATTCGAGCTGATTAATTCATACACTTTATCATTAAATTATCCAACAGGGAAATTCTTAACCTATAAAAGCAAGCACCAGATAAATAAGAATTTCATTCACTAAAATGAATACCTTAAGAAATTTCACTTACAAACTTATTTTCCACGAAACATCTGAATCTATCCCAATTGATATTCATCTTGAAGAACCTGATAATTGCTACATATGTCATACTGAAATTCTCCCGCAACTCACAAAACCGATTACAATACTGCCATGCAAGCATATTTTCCACCACAATTGCATTATAAATAGAGACTCTAGTCAATTACTTTGTCCAATATGTGAGAGGACGACCAAGCCAAGTCAGACTTCTTTCGTGGCTGATATATTAGGGGAGAATCTACAGATAAGCTCATTGGAGAAATCACAAGAATCATCAGTGGAGAGTGATGATAGAACCGATCCTAAAGGGCCATTATCAGAAGAAGAAGAATCATCAGAGAGTGACGATAGAACTGATCCTAAAGGGCCATTATCAGAAGAAGAATCATTGGAGGAGAGTTCTGGCAGGGCTGACTCTAAAGGATCACCAAGAATTACACGCACGCAGAAAAAAATACAAGGTCTGATAATGGAATTGTCAACACCTACCAGAGTAATAGTTGAAAATAGTGGCGATGGAGAGCAGAGTTTATCCAATACCGAAACTATATAATTAATCTTCCATGGTTTGGGTTTTTCTGGAAAACTTGTCTTCTCAAAAACATTACAATATAATTTTTTGAAAAAATCATGATATAGAACAATAACATCTTCACGTGAATTCAGAGAAACATGTAAAGGCCCCAAAATTGGAATAAAGTTAAGTATATGATCCATATTACTTTGTTGATTTTTTAAATACAATGTGATGGCTTTTCTTATAAAAAGTTGTCCTGGAAAGTCAGCTATTACAGGTATAGCATTGAATTTAATATATTCTGTCAATGAACTGATACTTGTAATCATTTTAATTGCAGAGAGGTAATCATTTAGAGAACGAAGATTTTGTTCTTTTATATCTAAAATTCTAACTGTTTTCATTGATCTTTCCTCTTTTTTTTCCTCAATATTTGCACCATATAGGTGCACTGATAAAGCCTCCAATAGGTTGAAATTATTTTCATTTATCATTTCATTTTGGATCCATTCCTTTTTAATATAATTATAACTTAGATCAAAGTGACCTTTATAATCATTGGTTAGTCTGGAAATGATTGATGATGACTCAATGTTATTTGGATTAAAAAGTGGTATGTTGTTGTAATTAGCAGGAATGGCTAAAACATTTTCAATTTTTTTAGAAACACATGTTGCCATATGTGTTGCTGAAGATAATGAAGTGGAATCAGGCCTTCTCCATTCATGGATTGAATGATAATCATCAATATTAAAACAGTGCATATACTGACACTAAAAATAAAAACAATTAAAATTAATTTCATTCAATAATTATTACTTGAACCTTGAATTAACTTACATTATTGGTGAAATAATTTCTAATTTCTTCAGGGTGGTTTGCTTTTATTTTTTTTTTATAATTATCAATGGTTTTATATGATGCAGACATACCTGCATTTGACAATGTGTCAATAGCAGCAGCACTTGTGCCATTTTCAGATAAATAAAGGCCAAGATCCAGCTTAAAATTATTTACAAATTTATTTCTTAAACCTGCTAAAAGGTAACAATATCCAACTATTGCTTTTTTAGCAGATTCTTTATTTGAAAAGGTACGATTATCAGGAATGATATTTATCATTTCATCAAAAAATCCTTTTAATTTTGGTTCATTTTCTTCAATTAATTGACAGAATTTTATTGGATCTAATTCAATTTCTGCATGGTGTTTACGTTGATTATCATAGAGTACTTTGGTCAATAATTCAATTTTATTTGAAAAGGACAATTCATCTATAATTGAAATTTAATTGTGAGTATTTATACATAAATTAAAATTTATTTAAAAAAATTTTTAACCTACTTTTTCTTAAGTTATTTTGAACTGTTAAATAAACATCACTTGACTCAAGTAGATGTTCAATTTCATTTTGGTTTTTTTCAATTGTAAATTCCATATCATCAATTTTTTGAACTAATAATTTAAAATCTTCCTCAGATAAGAGAACACCATTTTCAGTAATTTTGATATTAATTTTAACATCTTCTACAAAAAAATTATCATTTGCTTTTTTTTTTTCAATGCTATCTTTATTAGAATCTTTTAAGTTTAATCTTCTACGTTTTGCTGATTCAACATATTTCATATAATGAGGATGGCAAAGTTGATCATTAAGCTTTAAATAATTAAAATTTGTATAATCTGGATGTTCTTGCAACTTTTCCAATGCAGCATCAGTAATTGTTCTAAATCTATCAGTATCAATAATACTCTGACAATCAATTATTGCACAAGGACCTTTATTTTGAGCATTTTTAGGCATTGTTATTATTTAGAATTTTTATTTGATTTAAATTTATTTTAGAATTTTTATTTGATTTTAATTTATTTTAGAATTTTTATTTGATTTAAATTTATTTTATAATTTTTATTTGATTTAAATTTTTGAAATTTTACAGAATTTCTTTCTCTTTTATAGAATTTTTTTATTAAATGTGGAATTTTTAACAATAATTTTGGTTTTCACCTGAAAATATAATTTTAGTATTCGCCCGAGGTCAAACCCGAATCCACGAAATTTCAAATTGTGCAATGATCTTCAAGCCAATAAAAATTAATTTTTATGTGATATCTTGAAGGGGGATCATCACAAATTTAGCCAATGAAATCAAACTTCCATCATGCTGTGTACGTGTTGATCAAATAAAAAAAAAATGCCACATAAAGAAATCAACAAAAGAAATTGTGCATTTGTTCCTGAGATCGCAGAGTAAGTAATGTTTATTGCAAGAATGGTGGTTATCGCCACCACTCATCATTACTCTAGTTATTATTTAAACACTGGTAAAAACTAAAACTTCTGGATTAGTAGTATTAGATATTTTAATAAATAGATTATTAAAATTCATTTTAGATCATTCAACTCTTAGAGAATTTAGCACTGAAAACATAATCATTTATGAAGAAGACCTACATCATAATAGATTTGACAATTGCTTTAAGAACCTTAATAAATTAGATTGTGATGATTGGAATGGTAAAATCATTGACAAATTGGCAAATATTTGCAAAAATATTCAATCATTAATAATATATCATGATTATAGTACACATTAAGGTTTCTGGTCCAAACTGTTTTCTCAAAGCCCAAACTAGTTTGGGCAATTTGGGCTTCTCAACATTCTCTATAAGCATCAACATTAAAAAACTATATGAATCAACTTGTTTTAACTTAAACAACTTTAAAATAATTTCGCCCAATTTCAGCTAATAACAAAAAGTAGTTTGGGCTTATAAAAAAATAATTTTTGCCCAAAGTATTTGGGCAATTTCAGCTACTAATAGAAGCAGTTTCGACCAGAAACCTTAGTACACATGAGTTTGAAGATGGTCTGGCTCAACTAATTAAAGCACAGAATCAAATAAAAAAGTTGACTGTTATTGCACGCAAAGGATATCCAGTTTATTCAGTCAATCTCAAAAAAGCAATACTTGCACACTCACAATCAATATTTTATTATTCAAGTAACAACATGGAAAATTCAGATCATATATTAATACCAACATTCAAAAATTTAAAGATTTTATCGTTATATACTAATACTCATTCAGTTACTGATGACACAAAAATGGAATATAAAAATAGTTCACTACCAAATATTAAATCAACAAAGTTACATATTCACCATCATTCATTTTTATCAAACTTGCCTGATTTTATTAACATCAATGGAAAAGCTCTTATACACTTGGATGTTGATGGTAATACAACTAATTGTGAAATCATGCGAAGGCTATTTCAATCAATTTCACAGTCTTGTGAAAATTTAGTGTGGTTGTCAATATTATATAGAGATGAACTAGACCAAGAATTGATTAAAGTGTTAAATAATTGCACTAAATTAAAAGGAATTAAGTTTAATAGAGTAGCTTACAATTATGTAGATGGGGATAAAATTTTGAAAGTTTTATATCAAACAATATCAGAAAAATTAAAATTGCTCAAGTTTCCAGATACTACTAAGGTTATATTTGATGATCACCTTAATGACATAATGAAGAATTGGAAAGGACCTAAACCATTTACATTAGAATGTTTTGGAAAAATTTTTAAGGTTTAGGACTTTAAAATTATGGATTCTTTTTTTTATTTATAATTTTTTTTCCTTTTTTTTCAACAAATAAAAATTTTAAAATCTATTGCAAATAATTATAAAATATTTTACATTCAATTAATGATTTAATTGGTTGGGAATAGATTAACTGTTAATAGATATTTTACAATTGTTAGGTGATTTGTGTTTATAATGTTATTATTATGTGGATTATACATGTAGTAGAAATGGGCTATCCCTTGACTCAATCAGGTGACTTTTTTGATGCAATTAATTGAGTCATATAAAAAACATATAAATAATTGAGTCCTGGAGTCAAGACACAATTAAAAATGAGATTTTGGGAATGTCAAAGCCAAATTAGTTTCTACCACGTTATAATGTGGATTAATTAATATGAACCCTGAAATCCTTGGTAATACCAATGTTCACTTTGTCTGGTTTTGTTGCAGTATGCCCCATTTATATTAATTTAGACATTTAGACATTTTTGTCTAAACGCCCATCTATAGTGCACACCAAATACTTTACACCATCAAGAAAGTCAACATACAAAAACTTTCAGTTTCTCACCAATTAAAGATAAAGTAATAGGCTTTTAAATAGTTTATGCTGTTTGCAAAAATTTAATAGAAGTTTATAGTCGGCGCTCGATATAGTGAAGTTTTGGCTAGTACAAATTTAAAAACTATCTGCGTTAATATCCAATAAATTCAATTTTTCTGAAGATAGTTTCCAAATTTGTACTAGCCAAAACTTCATTATATCGAGCGCCGACTGCATTAGATTTAGTACTATAATGTAAATAAAAAAAAGACTTTTCATTGTGCAAACTAAACAGATCAATTTTAGGATCAACACAGCAAGTGTATATGTTCAACGAAAGTCTCTTTAATTGAATGTATATTTGAGCTCTGACAATAATGTTCACTTTGTCTGGCCTTGTTGCAGTATGCATATAATAATAACATACGATTTTGGTAAAGTTTTTTGTTGAAATTGAAAAGATTTTTATCCAAATAAGGTAGGTAAAGCAAATTTTTATGTCATATATTAAAACCCTTATACTAATTTCATCCAATGCGGACGATTTTTTAGTAGATTACTGTCTTGCCCTTGAAAAATATTATTTCTGTCACATTGTATAATAAATGTCGGGATTGTTGATTTTCATGACATCAAGCATTTCAATTACTAGACCTGTAGTATTTTAATCTGTTGAAACCATGGGAAGGGGGATGACCCATGGTCAGTTTTACACATACATATCAGTCATAGTTCGTTACGTACCTTGTAGCTTCCTTGAGATTTTATTCACATTGGATTACCTTTTTTTAAATGTGAGAATTGCAAACAATATTAAAAAGAAATTTTTATAAAAATTCACTATGCCATATTAGTATATTTTGGCACCAAATAAAAACATTCTTTACAATAATAATTTTTTATTAAGAAAAATAAAATAAGAGTAATTGAAGAGGAATATATATGTGTGTATATATATTTACAAAAAAAAACTATTATATATATATTTACAAAAAAAAAAATATATATATATATATATATCAAACAATAATGCCGAAAATTTTATTTATATATACAAAATATACAAAGGTATATTATTATTATATATAAATTTTATAAATTTTGAAAATAAAAAATTATTTTTTCTAGAGGAAAAAAAAACTCAAAACTGCAGGCAGATAATATTAGAATATTAATTAATTGGTTAATAATAAATTATATATAAATGTTTTCTTATTCTAATCTAATTAATATATGTATAATATTTTTTTTACAAAAAAGAAAGGAATTTAAATCATCTTTCTTAATTAATATTCGCATCCCAATTCCTTGGAAAACCAATCCAAAAAAACAACATGATATCGTCCTTTCCATCTATTTAAGAATCTCTTGTTCAAAAAATTTTGACTAAGTTGACGTTTCCAACTTATGATCTCAACTTTCCAACCTCTTTCCAATGCTTTAATGACACATTTGTGGAATCCACCTTGAAAATATTCACCATCTTTACCATCTCCACTTGCAAGTACTAAAGTTGCGGGTGTATGATAATCAAGCAATGAATCGAATATTTTAAGTTGAAGAAGTTCATCAACACATTGTTCCTTTTCTGCTTCATGAAGAAATTCTTGAATATTATTAGTATTGGTAATAGTATTGCTTGTAGTAGTGATGATAAAATCATCTGATTCATTTTTCTTGACACGTTGAAGTACCGAAACATCGTATCCTGCATCTCTTGCCTCATCAAGATTTTGATATAATGGCGAAGATGCTACTAAAACTTTACGAGCAACATTTCTTCCACGTTCAAGAATAGTAAAAAGAGCTGTATATGATAACATTGATTTTCTTTTTTCATAATTATTAAGGTTAAGTTTATGTGCGTGTTTTTGTAACTTACAAGTTGCAAGGAATCCAACAAGAATATTAGAATTATCAATAAAAACATGAATTTGTTCATTCGATATTTGAGTAGGTATTGGAATTTTTAATGGATATGTTTTGACCTTTTCTTTTTCCAATAATAATAATTCATTTAGAATATTTTGATCTTCATTCATTATCAACATTGATGATGATGATGATGTTTCTCTATATGTCTCATAATTTAACAAATTATTAACCGAAACCGTTTCATTAAAATGACCATTTTTCACACCATCAGTGTTAGCAATCTAATTAACCATATTAATGGCAAAATTAATAAAATTAAGTGTTAATGTTAATGTTAATGTTAATATTATTATAATTAATAATGATTTTATGATGATAATGATATTTACATTTTGTTGTTGTCGTTGCTGTTGTTGCAGTTTTTGTTTTTCTTGTTGTTTTAATTGTCTTTTTTGTCGTTTTTTTGCTGCTTTTTTAGCATTTCTAACGCTTTTCTTCGTCCAACCAGCTTTGCTACTGCTAACATCATCATCATCATCATAATCATCATCATAAACACTGACATTAATTTTTGCCTTCTCGTTATTTGAAGACTTTATAGATTGTTGTTGTTGTGGACGATGATTAATTTGTGGTAGCAATATTATTTTATGTTCTCCAAATTCATTATTTTTATTTTTAGTAATTTCTTCTTCAGTAGAATATTCAGACGAAGAAGAGTTGTTAAGTAGTGGTAATGGTTGCTGGAGTGCATCATGGTTGGTTAATAGTTGATTAGTTTTAACATCAACTTCAATTTTTGAATAGTCCTGAGCAAATTTTTTTTTAGAAGGAAGAGAGGGACTACTCCATTTTTCTTTTTCAATGCTTAAGTAACTCCATAAACTACCGAAATCACCTAAATTCAACGTTTTTATTTCTTCTGACTCTTCTTTATTTTCATCACTTAAATAGTTCCTCCATAAAGGTGTAAAATTTCCTAAATTACGCGAAGATTGTTGGGATGAGCCGTACGATGAAATTGTTGTTGTTGTTGATATTGAATTAGTTGAATATGACATTTTTCCCCCCCTCTATTATTTATTATATATATTATGAGGCTGTTTATATTTATTATATTTGAAATGTTTAGAAAAATTTTTTTTCATTAATTTATTATTTTTTTGAAAGAGAATAAAAATATAAAGAGAGATATTGATATGTATGTATGCATATATGTATGTTGTATGAAAGAGTGAGTGTGTGAATATATTTTTTTTCTGAATAAGTTTTTTCCAAATAAAATACTGCGGCAATTACTAAAACTATCTGATTTCGCAGATCATTCATCAATAAGTATGATGGAAGTTCGATTTCATTGGTTGTAAAAGGCGAAATTTTAGGCTTTTACCAAAATTAGAAAATATTACAGAAAATCGAACTTTTTATAGAATGTGTGACGTTAATCACGGGAACAAAAATTTTAATTATATTAATAATCCACATTGCTTTTTTTTTAATACGCCACTTCTATTTAGTTAAAAAATTTCGTAAATGTTCTATTTGATGGATGATAGGAAATGATATGTGAAGCACAATCCTGGACACCTATGCATATCCATCCGCTATATTTATATAAAATAAAATAAATAACTTGAATAATCAATGGTTATTATTATTATTATATACATAAATGAAATATTTAATTAAAATGAATAAGATGTCAATCTTCCGATTGATAAAAACGCCATATTTCACATCTACCTGTAAAGAATTTCTTAAAATTGTAATATAAACAGTAATATAGTAGGAAATTTTACTATATAAAAAAAGTCTTTCAATAATAATGAGTACGAGTGAGTACTTTTGTCTATAAAAGCGTAATTAAATTAATGATTGTCATGTTGCATAATTCTTAACAACCAAAAAAACTAGGTTTACACAAATCTTTCTTTATTTGATTGGCATCAAAACAAGGTAAATAATCATTCAATCTCAGGTAAAAAAAATCAAATTGAAAATCCTTTGTTTAAAAAACCAAAAAAAAAAGCCACATATGTCCTGATGAGAAATTTTAGTGGTCAAGCTCTACTTCCTTGTGCGTGCGCGTTTCCAAATTGCATAAACTAGTTCCTTAAAAATGTTTCCAACAATAAAAATAAAACGAACAAACCTGATATTGATCATAGGCAAGGTTATCATTGGACATTATCCAAGGTGTATTGTGACATGGTGTTTCTGATAATGGTAAATCAGATGATGGTGGTTGAGTTGGTGATGAATTCGGTTGTGGGTGGTTGATAGAGATGGTGTAGTTGGAGTTGCTCGAGTGAAAAAGGTTGTTGTTTGTGACGATGTTGATGATACTACGTTTAATATTACATGTAGATTATTGTCATATTCAGGGTAATACCCATGTCCAGAATCAACCCTGATCATAGGTGTCAGATTTGCCTTTCACAAACAAGCAATCGTTGTGCAATTGCACGCCTCGAATCTATAAAAATTTTTCCACAGAAAGAGACAATTGAACAAGTTGGGAGATTTTGTACAAGCGACAATAATACGATTAATAAACTCCAGGGTCAAACCGCTCTCCCTGAAATTTATTTGCATCATTATGTCCTTTGGGAAGACATTGGTCATATTAGCCCAATTTACACAAGGAAGACGTGTTTTTAAAAAATATTCGAGCTTAAATATCTGTAATAAAAATGTTGCATACCGAATCGTTTTTTGGTGTTTGCAGGTCATCCAAGGGCAGTTTTTCATGTGAGAGAGATCTTCAATAGTCATGTTGTTTTTTTTTACATTTGACACTTCATATAATTATTTAATGTTAATAATGATCACAAAAAACGAATACATCAATCGCTTACTTATTATCACAATAAGGAATATTATAATAATTACCCATCACTATGTAATGTAAAGATATGACAACCTTTTCTCCATGATAATGGACTATTTTATTAATAAAAAAAAGTTAATTAATACAATAAATCTCTAGCTATTATTAACAAATAGCATATCTTCACAGAACCGTACCAAATAATACTCCTATCATCTCGTGTTCCAAAAAAATATTTTTTTTGTATATACAACATTATTGCTGTGCTTCTTAAAATACGGAACAAAAGTTAATAAAAGAAAACCAATAACAATTTACTATAAAGAATTAATACACGATGCATAAATGTTATTATAACTGTTATTGTTGTTATTTCGCTTAGTTCAAACTCTAGTTAATTAATTTCTTTAAAAAAAAAATGGATAGATATAAAAAAAAAAGTTAATAAAAGAAAAACAACAACAATCTGCATGAAGAAATTAATACACGATGAATAAGTGTTATTACGACTGTTATGTTCTTTAAAAAAAAATGGATAGACATATAACAAAAGAAAAAAAAGAATATTTAAAAGAACAAAAAGTAATTATTATCAAAAATGAGAGCTATTATAGTTTAAGTTAATATTAATACACATGTAAAAATTTATACAAAAAATCACTTGTATAATACATAATCACATCCATTTTAATGTTCTGATGATAGAACTCCTTCAAATAAAAATCAAAAAAAGAATATTTAATGAAATCACCAGATCTATGAGGAGGAGGATGGCGAAGAATTGTGCATGAAGTTGAAAAGACCATCACACAAAAAAAGACCCCAAATTTATTAATCTGCTCCTAATTAAAACAATACTAATAAAGAAATTTTTATTTTATTTTATAAATATCTCACTTTCATAAATAAAATTCTAAAAAAATCTATCATTTTCTAAAAAGGAAATTATTGTTCAAATTTAAAGGTACATATTCATTTAAATTTTTATTCTATTCAGAAACTCCAGTGTCAATTTTGTACATATTTCCTACCAAACAAACCATTAGAAGTTCTTCCTTGATTTTTATAAGTTGATACGTTTCCAAAAATATTATCACATGATTTTACCGACGAATGATTAAAAGTAAATTGCCCAATAAAAAGAGAGTTCGAAAATTTAAAATTTAAAATTTGGATTTTTGGTGGCAGCCAATCAATTAATTATACGGATTGCAAGTTTAATTCATAATTGTAGCTAAGTTTTGTCCACATATATACTTTGAAATTAACTACACGTAATAGTAATATGTAATAATATTAAAAATGTGCTTGATCTGTCTTTAGTGTCCGAATTTGAGACAACATAGTTGATCAATATTGATACTCAGAACAACAACATTTGAAATAGCACATAATACAGGTTTTGGTATATATTTTTGTAAGCTTTTATCACTTTTAAATCTTCAAAGAATGCTGAAATTCTTTTATTGGTGAAGATGAAAATAATGAAATTTTCACTTTTCAATTTACATCCTTATCAATAAAGAAAGACTTAAAGGCAATCAAATAAACTATTATTATAAAAAATGTAAAAATAAATTGTTTGTTACACCTCCGCAAAGAAAATAATTAAGTTTCGTGAAATACAGGTTAGCATTATTATTATGAGATGATATTCTGTTATAAAATCACATGACTTGATCACATACATATACATTTGTTCGGAGCATCAAAATTAGCACTGGATGCAAATTATATTAGCATCCTATCATGTATTCATGATCAATGATGCCATGTTTAATGAAAATAGGTTATTTCTAATAATAGACCCATGGACCAAAAAATCGGTGCATTCAAATTCGAAAGTCGAGGAACACAGTGCCGAAATGGTGTTCTATGTATTATTTAGCTTTACACGTTAAAATCAAAAGCGAGGCATCCATATATTCGTTCAGAGCATCAACATTAGCCAGTCATATTATTATTATATCAATATATTTATTTTATTCATTTGTTGAGCAAAAAATTTATTTAAAAAAATTACACGAATTTATAAATTTAATAAAAGATCCTTTGCAAAGAAGAGCCCTCATGTGAAACATGAATTTCAACTGTTAAAAAAATAGATGGTTTTGAAAGCCAAAAAAATATCTCATAGTGCAATAATTACATTTGGCTTTCCATCCACAACTGTGAAATGATTCTACATCTCACTTCTTGTGCATCTTTGAACAAATTGTACTGCGCCGTTGAAAGAGTTATTGAATAGGCATCATTTTCAATAATCTAATCATCATTGAATTGTGCAACTGTAAATTATATTATCTTCCACCTGTTATCATTATTAATATTAAGAATATTAACAAACAAGAATCTTAATATAGTATTAAATTCTTTACCAATTAAAAATTTAAGAATCCACTTTAATTCATTTTGATTCTGGAACCATTGTCACCTTGACTCAACTTCGTCCATGAATACAACCAACACAGCTTCAACTTTTCCCAAATTACTATGAACTGATTTCTAAAATGACTATATAAATAAACATAACAGTCAGTGTGCAAATTCATTGTTCATTTAATATCAAAAAGATGAATACATACTCTGAACTTTATTAAGTTCATTATTGTCAATGGCAATAAAAATTACTTTAATGTCAAAATAGCTTACAAGTAGTGTTCCTAGGTTCAGTTCAGTTCGGTTCAAGTTCAATTGAACCCTGAACTTGAACCGAACTTGAACCACTCATATTGCTGTTTTTTGAACCTGAACCGAACCTGAACATATAATATCTGAACTTGAACTGAACCTGAACTTATCCATGGGTTCAGTTCAGGTTCGGTTCAGAGTTCATGAACAAGTTCAAGGTTCAATCACGTGACTGGTTGAGATTTTATGTGAAGGTATAAATTTTTTTGTATATCTCTTATAATGAAAATTGCAATTCCCCTGGATTATTGTTATATTACATTGCATGATCTTGTTCAGAAAGAAATAATAATAATAACTAGTGATTTTGATTTTTTTTAGCAACTTCATCACACTGTGTATTGATACACCAATATTCTAAAAAATAAAATTTTTTTTTTACAACAAAATAAATTATAAGTCATTCATGGAATGAAATACTATTAGAGCTGAATTTTGTGGATAAAATCTGCATTTGACAATCTTTGAAAACACAAAAAGTTCAGTGACTAAGTGACTTGCACTATATATATATTTCTATATTCCAATATAATAAAAACA